ACAACATGACCGGGACACCATCACAACATGACCGGGACACCTTCAAAACATGACCGGGACACCATCACAACATGACCGGGACACCATCAAAACATGACCGGGACACCGTCACAACATGACCGGGACACCAGCAAAACACGACCGGGACACCATCAAAACACGACCGGGACACCATCACATTATGACTGCGACACAATCAAAACATGATCGGGACACCATCACAACATGAAGGCGCCACCATCACATGACCGGGACACTATCACAACATGACCGGGACACCATCACAACATGACCGGGACACCATCACAACATGACCGGGACACCTTCAAAACATGACCGGGACACCATCACAACATGACCGCGCCACCATCACATGATCGGGACACCATCAAAACATGCCCGGGACACCATCACAACATGACCGGGACACCATCACAACATGACCGGGACACCTTCAAAACATGACCGGGACACCATCACAACATGACCGGGACACCATCAAAATATGACCGGGACACCGTCACAACACGACCGGGACACCATCAAAACATGCCCGGGACACCATCACAACATGACCGGGACACCATCACAACATGACCGGGACACCATCAAAACATGACATCAAAACATGACCGGGACACCAGCATCACATGACCCGGACGCCATCAAAACATGACCGGGACACCATCCGCCCACCAGCTCTGACGGTGACCCGACGGCGCCCGTCCGCCTATTAGTTTTGCAAGACCCCATAACATGGCTATTGGGGAAAGAGTCACGACGTGGTCTTTCATCTAGAAACCCTGGCCCGGAAGAGAGACACTGGCTCCACGTCTCTTTGACATATGTACAAACAAACAAAACACGCATGGAAAACCGTGCCCCCCAATTGGGCAGCACCGGACCAAGCGACCAGGCTGGGCTGGTGGTTTCGCGTGTCGCTTGGACCTGTCACGTGTCAGACAGGTGCACGATCGGATGCCCGTCTTCCTCACACCAAGGCTTGGATGTCATGCCCAAATGGACACATCGTTTCGCGTTGAGTGCGGGGTTGGTGGCACGGCTTGGCCGGTGTGTGTGGTGTGTTTTTGGCAGAGGTTGAGGGAAGTTTGTATTGAATGTGGTGAAAAATAAAGAGAAAAGCACAAGTGTTGTTTCCAAACTTTGCTGAAAGATCTCCAGAAATCTGCATTGGCTGTCTGAGCCTTGCTATACAAGTGGGTGGTCGAGCTGAGTCAACAAGCCCCCTTGAAAGAACAGTTTTGGATATGATGCGTCAACATGTCCTGCGGGCGCCTCATGTACCTTTTGCCTCAGGTAGTCCCAAAAAGAGAAAAAACGTGTGATTTAAAAAGGGCACGCACGCACAGCTTACGGAATAGTGAAGATATACAGCGAGTAGATGCCAGTAGATGTGTCTCAAGAAGGGCAGCCCCAGCTTGAAGTAAACAGTAGGTGGTGGTTGCGGACAGGTTTATGTTCAACCTTTACTTGGGATGATTGAACCGGCTGGCTAATATGTTTCAAGTGACTTGAAACCACCAACCAGAACACTTCTTTTGCTATTTCACGGGTGCAAAGCCACTCATGGCACTGCCTTTGCCAATGTCGCGACATGGTGCCGGCCTCAGACGATGTGACTGGCTACGAAAGGGAGGAATGCCCCTAAAAGATTCCTAAGATATGTAGTACTAGTAGAATCAATTAAACTCATGTAAGATCGATTTACATCATATCTATGTCATGTGTGTGTGATTGTCTTAAAAAAGAAACCTGGTACGAAAGGACACCAACAGCTTGCAAGAGTCAAGGCTCGCTCAAAATGAAGATTTAGGATGAGAAGAACAGCTTGGCAGCAGCGCAAAATGCCAAGCTGGTGAGACTGCAGGAGAATGTAGAAGACATGGACTCCGCAAGAGGCCGAAGTCTGGCCAACTCTACCAGGGTGGCCAACTCACCGAGGCACCATCGATGCGATCGATCTTCAATGTGGAATGACCACCCATGTTTCAATATGTTTCAAAAATATTCAATATGTATCATCCCATTTCAGCGTGAGGGAGCTCTAGTCGGTTCAATCCAGCCTAGAAAGCTCTACTTCGTCCATGTTTGACGCCATGGACGTGCGATCCATGCTGCCAATCCTGACCAGCCTGCTTTGTGGCTTGGGTGGGATCTCTTTGTTCTTGGAACCAGAGGAGCGCTCTCCACCGAAGGACTGAAGAGGGCTTGATGAGCAGACAGGATATGGCAGGATCATAGGCCGGTAAGTGCTTTTTGTCAGCCACATGTCACAGCTAAATGCTGCGGCTGCTCAATATCACTTGATATTCTGCTTAAAGGACGAGCCGAGATCATCTTTTGAGCAACCGTTTCAGTTTTAGGCACTGCAAGAGTACGAACCAGCAATCTCTGGTGTATGTCTATCCTTTCCAGAAGCTCTTCCAACCAGAATCGCTGACCGAAGGAGCGAAGTCCCAAAGAGTGTTGCGAAAATTGGTTCTTACTTTATGGGATGATGTGGATGAGCTGCTTCGCTGTACCTTGGAGAACGACCGACCGACAATCGCTGTACGTTCACGGATGATGTCATGAGGATGGAAACGGTCCTTCTTGTCCACGAGACCTCAGAAAAGGAGTACTGTATATCAATCAGCCTGTACCCACATTTTGCCCAACTCATATCAAAACACAAAAAAAAGGCATCAAGAAAGTCACTTGGACAATAATGTATTTTGCCCGGGATATTGAGACCGTTTTTGCGCGGCCGCGAGCCTGCAGTTCCAAGATTGACACTTGTGTTTCCAAGCGAAATGAGCTAGGCTCCCGTCTAAATCAGGGCGCTGTTGTCAAAGTAAAATCCCCAAACCTGGAGTCTTCAGCGAAAGGTCTGGCTAACTCTGTTTGGCAGGTCATTGTCGGTTTTGGGATCTACGAGTCGATGGACAAGTGGGCCTACCTGGGTGTTTGTGGTGGTCTGGCAGCTCCATTACTTTTGCAGCCGCTGTTGCTCCCCGCACTGACCAAAGAGGCCTCAGTGCCACTGGCGCAGCGGTTTTGCACCAAAGCCAACCTGTGGATTGCTGTCTACTCCTTTCTAGGCAAGCCGTTGCCAGATACGTTCATGATCTTCAAGTTGTGTACTGAAGAAATAGATGTAGTGAAGCAAATTTGGCGGAGTACAATGAGCAAGCTGAAAAATACGATTTGCACTGACATTGTCAACTACCCCCTGAAACTGCAGGGGGCGCTTTTGCTACTCGGAACTGTCATGTTTTGGACTGTTCATGTTCTCTTCGCTTCTCTTCTTGGGCCCCAGACACCAAGCGATGGCTCAATCGCTCAAGCAGGAAATTATTGGGGCACGCACTACTTCTACTGTGTGCTCAAGGCGCAGCTTGGCAGTCCGTTGTTGGGGCACTGCACGTGTTTCGCGTGCGAAAGTGTGGCCGGTTCCATCAGTATGGGACGGGTGAAGTATGCCAAGATCCATTTGGGTCTTTGCGACATGCGCGGTGTAGGGGGTTCCGTCATGAAGCAAAAATTATACGTTAACTTTGCCCAACCCAACCCACGTGTCATTTTGTCCAACCCGACCCAAAACTAAGGAAGTACACGCTACCATTTCTGCCATCACACCAGCTGAATGGGGTGCCAGTGTGCATGCTGCTTGGAATAAGATCCTTTTTTTCCAGACCTGGCAGAGTAGGTACATTCATCATCATTGACCTACTGTGAGGTAGAAAAGACATGGCTTTTCCATGCTCCAAAGAACGGTGGCTTCGAGAAAAATGTCTTTGCGTCCACGGTGCACAAACGCGACGCAGGTACCTTGCGACGCACTTTTACTTTAGTGTCTTGGTCTAATTGGTTTGCACGCAAGGGAAAACGCACAGATGCGAATGATATCGGGTGATCGAAGCTTCAACTCAAGGGTGACCAAGTTTGTTAAAACCAAATCAGAAGTTGGAATTTGGAGGAAGAGCACCATTATTGGACACGTTTTTGGGGCAATCTTTCTGGTCAGGTCTACTCTAGAAGACTTGCCTGCTTGATGCGGATCTCGGATGTGTCCCTTGAGGTTTCTACCATGCACTCGGGAACAAAGCCTTGCGCTGGATCTCCACTCGCTTCCGTCCGAGCTTTTGGAGGAAGATCTTCTCTGTGGTCTTTGTGTCCTGTCTTGGTTTGAGCAACAAGATCCGTTTTGGGAGATGGGCCGGTAAGAGAGCCAAAAAGCAACTTTGTAATGGGTAAGAGTAGTAGCTACTAAGTAGGCCGCTACTACTGTAGGCTTTGAAGCAGAAGAGCTGCCGCATGGGAAACTTTGATTTTGGTGTGCTTGGCGGCTTGAGAGAAAGACTGAAATTGTCTCACCTCGATAGTAAGCCTTGCTGTGCAGCTATGTTGCAGCTAGCAGGGTCGTTGATACATCGCTAGTCCAACAGTCTGTGGCTTAGTTAATAGCTCAACAAACTTTTTTTTGATAGATCTTTCTGTCAATGGGCTACCATGTTTCTCATCAATAGGAAATGCGGGCCTTTCATGAGATGTTCAGGTTTGCGTGATGTCCTATTCCGTGGCCTTCATGGAAACGTTCTCGATATCAGCTTTCCCTTACTACACATTTGAAAATCGTGGTATGGCCTACACCCTTGGTGCCTTGCCTCAGCAAAAAGAAGCTGTGAATGACTATGCCTCGTCCATGTTACATCCAGCATCAGCCAGTGCATTGAATTTTGGATTTTGGTATCGGCTGATTGTACTACATTGTACCTATATCGACGGTTCGTTGATTCATATGCTATGATTGCAGGCCTTCATGTCTTGTCTTCCAGCCATGTGGGAGCGCGTGGGGGGAAATAAAAAAAAGTAACACGTCGTCGTCGCCGTCGCCGTTCGGCTGATGGTGTGGATTGATCCGCCCGAGCGGCACGTCCGCCCGTTGTCAGGATCCGCCTTCTATGCCATTTACTTGGTCGTGTCCTTCCCGCTCTTCGCTCGGCTGGACGAGAGACCAGGCCGGACCCGGCCTGCGATGAAACATGATGAAACCGTTTCATCGATGGGGTGTGGACCCATGGCATCAGCGGAAAGGGAACATGCATGCGAAAACAGGCCCATGCGAAAGGAACAAAATCGAGTCACCTGAGCAAATGACTTTGCACTTTGACATCACGTTTCTTACGTATCGCACTGACCGCCGCTGTATGTTGCATCAGGTTTGTGTCAAGCCTCCTGAAGTTCGATAGCCGATAGACATTAGAACTTAGAACCATTAGATTGAGAATTCACTTGATTGATCGACAGATTCAGGTGGGCATGGCTGCTTCGACGCAGCTTTGGATGCTTTGGGCGCTTGGGCAGCTGTGCATATTTGCTTAGACCTGGCGACTTTGATGCAATGGTCGTTGGCAGTTGTGTTCATTAATGACATTTGATGGAAACACTGTGCTCAAGACATCCTGATTCTCGAAGTGTGTAATTGTAATCCTAATAGTATTAAAATGTATTAAATATGGCAGACGAAGCAAGCTTGAGATCTTGCTTCGTCACTTGAGGTGCGTTTGTGCCTGGGCGTTGAGCTTCATATCGCTTGAGAGAAAAGTCGCAGCTGTGCACGCATGCAGCTTGCGATACTGCAAGGCTTTAATTTATGTTTTGTTAAAGTAAAATCCTCACATGTCATGTTTCGTGTGCTTGTTTTTTGCACAACAAGTATCAGCGAGTGTGTGTTTTCTAGATTCTCCTCTACCTGACCCATGGGCGGCACAGCCGATTGTTTTACGATCTGGAAGGACATGCACGCAGTAAGTGTGGCATCATGACTCTGAGGTTCTTTACCCTCCTCGGCGACCATGTGTGCAAGGGAGGTGAGGAGCTTGTTCAAACATGTCGATCAAAAGGTGGTGTGCATACAGAGTCAGGCAAGGACCCACACTGCTTCCTGTTTCTATCCCTTGTCTTCCAGGCTGGAGAGCCACATATCAGTTTGCTTCCCAGGCATACCCCATGGCCACAGCAGAAAAGTTAGTTTGGACCCGATGGTCACAGACAGACCGTTTGGGTGTTTGTAGAATTCAATCAACTGGACAGGTATGAAAAAGTTGGCCGCCTCCAAAAGTCTTCTCATGTCAAAGTTTGTAAAATTGTAGCAACTGGTGGTTTTACAGGATATGAGTTGCTTGTGTTCATGGATTTTGAGTTACGCGTCATGCTCCTTGCTGTTGCTTGTTATGCTCGTTGAGTGGTTGCCCAAGGCTTGACAGACTGGTTGCAAAGCAACCGCTTGCTGCGGCGCTTCTTCCTTCGGTTCAGCGACCCTTCTTGGGTGGTAAGCTCAGCTTGTGGAGGGGTAGAGAGAGAGAGAGAGACACAGAGAGGCAAAGAGGCAAAGAGAGAAGGATAGGAGAAGAGAAGGGATTTGTAAGAAATCCTTGCGTCCTGGAAGGGGCGAGCAGAAACATGGACGATGCATCCTCAGGTAGAGGTGGCGAAGAACCTTTGCATCCTTGGTGTGCTGTCTTTGCAGCACCTGGCGCCTGAGAATGCATGGCGTGGCATCACAGAAGTGGCCCGCAGGAACCCCTCATCACACCTGCATGCTCAACCCACATTAGCCTGCTGATCCTCCTTAACAAAGTTTGAGGTCTACTGAAGACCTTGCGGAGTTGGTGGAGTCTGGCCCTCACAACTCTAAGGCAAGTTCCTTCATCATGCTGTGTGCAGGGTGGTTGGTCGAGAGCAGGTACCAGGGAGGTCGGTGTCGGGTCCTTGTTTTCTTATGGGTAGGTTGCATGTTGCATGAAAGTCCGAAGTTGGTGTAACTCTCAGTTTGATCACTGAAAGATGTTTTCCCTTGGTTTCTATTCTGGGCGAAGAGGACTCCCGACCTAACGTCAGCATACGTCAGCTGCACTTGCGCAGCAGAGAGGCACCGAGGCACCGGAGCATCGAAGCAAAGTCAGAAGACCCAAAAGTTGTATAAAGTTCTATGACCTGAGCACTGGCAGAAGGCCTTAGTTCTTGGACTTAAATACTCCTTGCTGCAAAGAAGAGGAGGTTCTTTGCCAAAGGCCTCACGAAAGCTTTGCTGTAGATGGGGTCTTTTCTACATTCGACTAATGCAGTTTCTACAAAGAGCCTTGGGTTTGGACGTGGTTTGCGCCCTTGCGACACCTCCTCGTTCCACCCAGGCATCTCCAACGTGTGGGATGGCCGCAGGTGCCAGGCCAAAGCCAGGCTCAAGATGCTCCAAGCAGCTGTTTGTTTATATATGTTTGATTATATTTGATTATATTTGTATTTGATTATATTTGATTATATTTGTATGTTTTTGTTAGTTTGAGTCCTACAGTAGCAGCCAGTGCAGGAGAGATTGTCAAAGGTAAGTTTAGTGAAATGCATGGTATCCAAAATATGGCATATGTTAGAAAGAAAAAAGGACGGAAGAGTATCGAAGAATACAGGGAAGAAAGACAGTTGACTCACTTGACCGATTTCCTTCACTTTCGGCAACCCGCCACAGGAGTGGTTACCTCCTTGGCAACGGAAGAGAAAGGTGTCGTTGGCCCGTTGGCTCCTTCCGCAAGAGCAGGGTACCATGGCAAAGCCACTGGTCAAACGACACAAGTTGCAGGATCAATGATCAAAGGAGCAGTGTACCGTGGCAAGACGTCCCTGTGTCTTGCTTTCGGAATTGTATGTTGGTCCAGGGGCGTTGAAACACTCGTTGGATCTGGTGGGCGGACGAGGTGAGAAACCTCCGCCAGGTCTTCCCAAAACCTTCAGGAGACTGGCGCAGTGGGAGGTGCCAATTGTCATGTGGTGTTTAGACACCCATGTTGAGTGTCTCGTGTCGTTGTGTCAGTTTGAAGCAGAAAGACAGTAATTATGGCCATTAGGACAGGATCTGAGATGATCTGAGCATATTTTTGTTCGCTGCCCCGGTGTGCAGCTCTGAACCTCTTCATCGTGTCCTGGAAAGGGCGGACATGGTGCGTGTGGAACTCAGCTGTTTCATGGTGGAACTCGTCGCTCGTTGCGAGCCGGACGGTGCTGTGCTGCGATGGTACGGTAGATGACTCGTGGCGTCCAAGCTCTTGAGGAAAGCCAAGCTCACCGAGTTCATCGCAAAGGCAGAGAGAGAGAGAGACGGAGACACGTTCACCACAGCGCAACAGCAATACAATGAGCTTGCCTGCAACAGCACTAGGGTCACCAGGGACATTTGCAGCTCAAAGGTGGAAGGCCACTGGCTACCAGAGCTGAAACATGGCAGGTAGATGTAGGTCGCACAGTTTCATGCACAATGAATGGATCATTGATGATCATTGGATCATGACTTGAAACGACTTGAATGTCGCCCCTCGGCATTTTGGCTCAAGTCTGAAGTTTCACAATATGCTGCATGCAACCAGGGCTTTAGGGCCAAGCAGTAGAAATGGCAGGTTGTACGTGCATGTCAGCTCCAAATGGTTCAGATTCGACGTTTTCACAGTGATCACAGCGAGTCTTGATGATTGGAAATGCCATGAACTGCATTTGGGATCTCCAATACTGCATTTAGTTCCAGAAGGTGGAATTTGTCATCATCCAACAATCGAATCCAGTATCTACATGCGGAGGGTTTCGGTGCAGAAAGCCACATGCCTGCGCCTCAGAAGCCACAGTTTGTCTGAGATGAGTCCAGCGAGATTGGGGTCAACAATGTCAATCGACATCAATAGGCACTGCTTCCATCCGGTCACCCACTCAACAAACGGAGAAACGGAAAACAGGCCCCTGGAAGATCCTGGAGGTACTCATCCAATCTCATCCACGAATATCCATGGCCCATTCTATGCCCGATTTGGACAGGGTTGGATCGGTTTGGAACCCCCGAACAAGTGCCCGGCAGAACAAGAGATCCAAAAAAGGACTCAAAAAGCAAATTATGAGTCCCCTCCAAAATGTCCCAAAAACAGAGTATTGCAAATGAATTCACTTTGTTTGGGCGCCTGTTTCCAAGGGTTTGACCGCTTGATCAAGCGCAAGATCCGACCAAGCTGGCAAAAAACGACCCAGGTCCGGACCCTCAGCCGTTCCGCAGTTTGCTTCGCTCTATGTGGGTGACCTCCATCAAGATGTCACAGAGGCTCGGACCCGCAGCGAGGAGGAAAGAAAATGAGTGCAAGTAAGCGGATGAAAACTGAGTTCACACTCTTTGATCGAACTCGGTCGCTGGTTTGTTTAAGCTACTAGAAACAAGTGCATCGCTACTAGGAACAAGTGCCTTACTAGTAGTAACAAGAAGCTATTAGAAACAATTCTAACGTAGGTTGTTCCTTTTGGAAGTGCACCTCTCATCTCTTCCAGGCCATGCTCTATGAGATCTTCAACGCCGTAGGCCCCGTCGCCTCCATCCGTGTGTGCCAGCGCCTCCTGTTCTCCTCACCGGCTCCCGCCGAGCTCGGGATCGACGGTTGACCCACCCAGGTCGCGACTCGGTGACGCGAAAGTCCTTGGGCTATGGCTATGTGAACTTCCACAGTCTCCTGGAGCCGACTTATGGAGAAGGGCATGGCGAAAGTCTGGGAAACTCTAGAACGGGGGGGGTGGCGCAAGGAGCTTCCTGAGAAATAGATAGAAATAGTATATTCCTGTAGATATATTACTGTATGCATTTAGGGCGGAAGGAAAACATTAAGTCATGGCAGCTACGAGTTGGCTCGAAAATAGCCGTGTTCTGTCGTACCTTTCACAAGTCTCCAAACTATCCATGGCTGACGTTGGCGAATGCTGCAGGTAGCTTGCCATGTTCCCTTTGCTTACAGCGCGTTTGATGTTCAAAAGATTCCTGTGGACATTTCGTAGTGTCTCAGTTCGACGAGGTGTCTCAGATGCCGAGCGAGCATTGGATACGTTGAACTATTCCAGCATCAAGGGGCGATCGCAACTTAGCAAGCATCAAGGAAGGAGCGCCCCCCTTTTAGCTGCGGTTCGACACATAGGCACCTAGAGACTCTGCCAGCAAGCATGATGAACAACAGAACAGTCACGGGAAATGCTGGCATAGTTTGAGCCAACAGCACTGTCCGCTTTGAGCCAAGCCAGCATGGGTTCCGCCTGAGGTGTCGTATCATGTGGAGCCAACGTCTCTTTGTCTCGCAAACTGCGCAGGTCGATGTTTTTTTCGCGTGCAGCAAAACCATGTCGAAACAGGGCAGAGTTTAAAGCAACATGAAACATGAAACAATTAAAAGTGTATGTGTTTTTTCCATAGAATAGAGGGGTCTCACCACCTGTTCGCTCTCCAATTACCTTCGGCTTTAATTGTTGTGTCATGTGTGTTTCGCTGACGAAAAAAAATCATGTGAACTTAACAGGTTGGTTGTCTTGATACTCTCTTGATCACTGATGCATTAATTCGTGTCCAGATGGCATCAAATGACTACTTGACAAAGCAGTCAAGAAACAATCAAAACTTAAAACATATTCAAACAAGAGGTGTGTGTTTCATTTGCCCAATGTCGCGATGCATTCCTCCATAACGAAAAACTTTGATGCAAATAAAGGAAGAATACATGGAAAAGTCGGAGTGTGTCCAGGTGTTTTGTTCATTGTTGTGAAGCACAAAAGCTGTGGAGCGCCCACCCACACGAGCGCCCACCTCTCACCTGGGTAGCACGAATGACTTGGGGGACTTCACTGGGTAGCAGCACCGTCCCTCCAAGCTGCTTGCAAGCTCCAGAGTGCATTTTGGCAAGGGTTGTTAATCTGTTAATCCAGGAACGCAGCAATGTTGAAGTTGGTGACAGGTTCCGATTTGCAAGCTCGGCTTGTCCCCTTGGCCACCCTTGGCCCAGGTGATCCCACACTACGCAAGTCGGGGCCCAAAACGCACGTCAGATGACATTCAAGATTCTAGACGGACGGAACGTGAGAAACAGCTTCTGAGGACCGGCGCAGGGAACATCTACGTCAGCAACCTTGACCCAAACATCGATAACAAGGCGAGAAAGGTATTTGCAGAGACTGGGTGTCCTTGACATGTTGCCTAGCATAGTAGGTTCAAGAGTCTTGCATGTACAGCAGTGGATCATGCAGTTAGATGGATCGTGTTTGGTTCCTTGCCAAGAAAATCGGCTAACATTGGCAACTGCTGGGCAGCTTTGGTGACCTCCGGTGGCCACGGTTTCCGCATTAGCTTCTTAGCTTCTCAGCTTCTCCGATGCCATGCCAGGCTTTGTATGACACCTTCAGCCTTTTTGGCAACATTTTGTCTTGCAAAGTGGCCTCCGATGCACTTGGAAAGTGAGATGCTTGGTGAGATGGTTGCCCATGCACAAACCAAGATTCAGCTTTGAAAAATACAGTCAAGGAACTGTCCTTTTGAGTTCTGAGAAGACTGCCTTCAATTTTCTTTCAACCGCTCTCTTGTTTCTACGAAAAGCACACAGGCAAAAAGCAACCGCTCTGAGAGCAGTGAGAGCTTTCCCATGACAAACAATCTACAATTTGGCCAGTAACATTCACCAACTGTCTTTTGCTTGTTCGATGCATGTACGTATTACTTATAGTTGTTACAGACAAATATATATATATATATCGGAATGTGAGGGGTAGTGGGGTAATGAAGTGAAGGCACCGAAGGCGAGCATAGCGAGTAGCAAACAGTAATCTTGGATGCGTTCTTGTTGCAGAGCTACGGCCTTGTCGCGGACTTAGGGCCTATAGAAGTAACGCAAAATTTGGCGACCTCATACGACCTCCATCCGTCCGAGGAGCACAGGTTGCTTCAGGCCCCCACTGGGCCCATTGCGGCTAAAGGGTCAGCAAGCGAACATCAACGAGCCAAACAAGAATGAAGGATTGGGGCTTGGTACACAGGGATCACGCTCTTCCCTGCCCAATCTTCCAGTGCATGATCTTCGATCGGTTCTGTTAGAAAGTTGCCATTGAAACACATTTTTCAAAGGCGTGACTGCACTCGACACAAAGGAATAAAGACATGATGTGCCTTTCCATCAATTCCCACCAGTAAGTCTCACCCGTTCCGTTGGTTCTGGAGTTCCGTGGAGTTCCGAGTTCCGAGTCAGCACCGTTCAAAACCGACCGGGTGACCCCACACGAAGGAGACACGCGTTCTATGTATATAGATGTATATAGTATACATGAATATATGATAATATAGTATAGAAAATCCAAGAACGTTTCGGGCCTTGAACAACATTCCTTGCTAAAGGCTTCCGACCGCCTTCATACAAGAATGTTTTCTTTAGAGCTGGAACGCCAGTTAAATACAAAGCCTCCACATCCCGATCAACTATTCGGCAGCAGTGCTTGCCACAAACCGACCAACTCCTGGCGGTTTCAGAATCGAGCACACCGTGCCGAGCCGGCTCGTGTAAATCAGAGAAGGAGAATGCCACGTGTCGCCATCGATGCTGTGCAGCCGCTGCGCACAAACTAGTCAACGAGTCAATCTTATGCTTACTTCCCAAAAGTCAAAGCTTTGCCCCAAAAAATGAGAAGATTCAATTATATACTGTAAGGCGAACTGCTTTCGACTCTTCTAAATACCTGGCAGAAGATGTTCCTGGGCAGTCTTGCCTTCAGTGCTAGGTCTCACGGCTACGGATTTGTGCATTACGAGTTTGAGGATGCAGCACGTCAGGCTAGGGCTGATATTTGCTTTGGAGCTGTGAAAGAAGAAGAAACATATTATGCATGCAATTGCATGCATATATAAGAAGTTGCCAAATGGAACAATAGATTGCCTGTTTGATCCAAAAGCACTGAGAGAGCTCGAGGACGGTGAAACCCAGTGGTCACAGCCAGATGTGAAGGTTTTGGCAACAGAAGCATTTGATTTTGCATAGTTCTGTTTCGCGATCACTGCAAATGGAGACCCTCCGACCAATGGGTGTTAGTCTATTCTTCCTTGCACCAAGGAGGGCAACCAGGTGACTCCGAATTCAAAGACACGCCCAAGTACAGTGTTTGATGAATGTTGATTCTTTCCTTGGAGTGCATGAGGCAATCGAGAGGGTCAATGGCATGATGATTGGAGAGAAGGCAGTGACAGTCCCCTGGCTAGAGAAATCAGATGCCTAGATTCACGCAGGCCGATATATTTGCAAGCAAGAAGGGTAAG